TCAACAACACAAATTTAAGCTCATTTTTATAATCATGTACTAGGTTGAAAAGCTCAATAAACAGTTGAATATTTGGTGTAATTTTAAAACTCATTCAATATTTAGATAAATTATCTGTAGAAAGATATAAAATTATTGAATGAAATTCAAAATGAAAGTACTCTTACCATTTAACAAAACAGTTACACTTTTTTCGCACGTTTGTCATTCTAGTTTGTTGCTCGTTTGCCGGTAATTTTAGGAATGTTATTTAGCTTTAAACTTTGTCAAAAATCTTTTGGATTTGTTTAATTGTGGAATTCAAAAAGTGCTTTTTCAAATGATTATTTTATATCATGTATGAACTACGAATACTCTTACCATAAGAACAAAACAAGTACTTTTTTCGCTTGTTCGYCATGCTAGTTTGTTGCTCGTTTTCCGGTAATGTTGTAGCTACGTTATCTACACTAAATAAACAAAATAGAAAATGTCCTAACCTCTCTCTTCACGCTGTGGCGAATTCTTTTTTCCCCCATGATTTCTTCAATAATTTTTTGTTTCGTTTTTACAACATTCACAAAAAAATGATAGTTAAAAAGCTCGTTAAAAAAAGTCGTCATTTTCCAAGTGACGTGTGATTTGAAAGCTCGACCAATCAGAAATGCGATGTACACCTGGCGGACGACACTTTTAGCGTTACGCACAGGGTTCCCATGCGATGACCACGAAAACTGAGTTGTATAGTTTACCATATTCTATACCTATGGTGCTCCGCTCGCGCGGGCCTTTGGCCCGCATGGGAGCTCCGCTATTAATGCACATTTCTTGACCAATTAGAGTACACATACTGTAAGTTAATAATACTGTATATAATATATATACCTTTGGCATTCTGGTCATTCCTCCAACCAACAACACATCTCCAATATCACTCTTACTGATCTCGGCATCTTGTAGACACTTCTTACATGGTCCTACTGTCCTATTGATCAAGTCACCAACAAGAGACTCAAACTTGGCTCTTGTGAGCTTCAGGTTCATATGTTTTGGTCCACTGGCATCAATGGTTATGTACGGTAGGTTAATATCTGTCTGTAGAACGAAAATATACAGAAATTTATGTGAAATTTAGGGCTACTTTTAGTGTCCCAAAGAATGTTTGTAGTCAATTGACAAGACATTGTGGCAATGCTGGTGGCAATGAAAGATTAAAGAGAGGAGAATAAGAAATATTTTGTTAATCAATACTGCCAAAATGACAACAATTAGGTAAAAAAAAAAGTCAAAAAAAAAAAAAAAAAAAAAAAAAAAAAAAAAA